GAGCTATTCAGGGAGACTCATATTGTGAAGAAGAAGAAAGAGACGGATCAAGAAAGGTGGGTCGAGGGACGTGCCTCGACTGTACATGTAAGTTTTCACTTTTCATTAAGTATTTTCATTTACTTTTATGTAAATTTTGAAATACTAATTCAATTTACTTTTTCTTATAGGATCGCTTCAGAGTTGAAGCTGAGGAATTCATACGCAGCCAGCCACCTAATGAGTCGGGCGCGCCATTCCAACTTTCGGCCGAGGATGTTGAAAGACTATGGACGCGGGCTGCAGGCGGTCCAAAATGGGGGAAGGTATACGGCCTTCCTACTAAGACATTCGCTATAGGTGTGGAATGCAAGGAATAGGGACTTCCTCGCAAGCCGAGCAACTTGATGGGGAGAGCCTCTCCGCTATGCGGGAGACTGTGACAAAGCTCACATCCGAGCTAGAAGCGTCCAAGGAAAGAGAAAAGCTTAGAGATGCTCAGTATATTGGCGTGGTCGCTCAGTGCCAGAGCATGCAAGAGCAGATCAAAAATCTCCTAGCTGGATCTTTTTCGATTCCCCGGTCTCGGCCATCATCGCCAGAGGCTGCCCGTCCCCGTGCTCGTTTGTCCCGTCCTCCAAGTGGCCGTTCCTCCCGTCCTCCCGGTGATTATTCTTCCCGTCATCGACAAGTAGACCCTTCTCAATACCGTGATGATGATGAAACTTCATCAGACGATGATGATAATGATGTACCAAACAATGAATGAATTTTAGACAATTTGAACTAGACAAATACAATTTGTTTTCCATTGGGTTGTAATAAGAGTTAACTTAGTTTGGTAGTTCTATTGAAATTTACACTTTCTTGGTTTTAATGTAGCTTTTAATGTTGTTTTTGTGTTGTTGTTGTTGTTGTTGGGTTGTTGTTTGATATTGTTATTGGAATTGTTGTTTGAATTGTTGTTGTTGTTGCTTGTTAGGGTTTTAGTATGACTGGCAGGTGGTGTAGCTGCCAAAACAGGCAGTTTCTGCCAAAATAATACACAGAAAAGCGATCAAAGTTGGTCTCTATTTGGTCGCTTTTCATGTTAAAAAAATAATTTTCTGGAGAATAGCGACCAACATTGGTCGCTATATACCCAGATTTCTACAAAAAGCGACCAAACTTGGTCGCTGTTTCATTAAAAAAATAAAATTTCTGGTGATATAGCGACCAAAGTTGGCCGCTAATATTTAAAAAATAAATTAAATTCATGTATTTAGGGACCAAAGTTGGTCGCTAGTTTAATAAAATAAATAAATAATTGAATAAAAAAGCGACCAACATTGGTATCTAGTTTCCAGATTTTAAAAAATAATATTTGGATTAGAGACCAAAATTTTGTTAATGATTAATAATAAATAAATAAATAAATAACGTATTTTATATTTAGAGACCAACTTTGGTCTCTATAGTCAATATCCGGAAAAATTGGTCCATTTAGTTTAGAGACCAAAGTTGGTCGCTAACTTTGGTCCCTAAATAAAAGGGACCATCAATATAGCTACCAGGCCCCTGTGGTCGCTTTTTAGCCCAATAACAACCAACTCTGGTCGCTTTTTGCGGTCGTTTTCCCCCGAATTTCTAGTAGTGATAGGAATTATTGATTTTGTTAATTTAGTGGTTCCAGTTTGTTGAAATTCTTCCAACCATACGGGCGAAAGACTAGTTTCAAGAAGGCAGTTCAGTTCAGTCCAATTGTCGTTGCTAAGAGATTACAATTCGAATTATAGTGTCACGAGTTCAAATATAGACACCCTCACTAGTCTTTACTGCGTATTCTCCACATATACATACATTGTGAAATGACTAGGCTTGTCATGCAGGAATTGAATGGAGAGAGTTGGGCTTGATTAGTTGACGTGGGGGGATCAGAAATAGCTAGATTTATAGTAACTGCTAATCAAGAATTAGCCATAGTTTTAAAACTAATTAAAATTTAGTCATTTTTATGTGAAAATAAAATCCGAACAAAACACCCTTAAAAATCTAGAAAAATTCCATCATAATATGTTGGAGTTCAAATTTTTTACATATGAGATTTCAACATAATGTACTTATAATATCCTACAACTAAAATAAGGGCATAATTGCCATTTAGCCAAAAAAAAATTAAAAAAATGTATAAAGCATCTTAACGGGCCGAAGACACTACCCGATACTATGAACTCTTAAGGGTTTTACAAAGATAGGTGTATTAGCCACCAAAATAAAGGAGAAGAAAAAAAAAAAACAGATTAATATTTGGGCAAAAGACAATGACTTTGGTCGACCAATGAACTGAAAGCAATTAAAGTTGAAAAGAAGGAGGACAAAAGGAGGGGATTCTGTGGCAATTAACCGTGAAGGACAAAAGGATGGCTGATCAAATAGCTTTTGTGGTGGAATCTTGTGTCATGGAACAGATAAGCGAAGGCAAATAGTAGAAGTCACCTTTCAATCCCAAAGTAATTTTTCTTACTCACGGTTTGCTTGAGTTTACTCTTTGTGTATACGAAAATTTCATTGGGTAATGAATATTAAATACCAATTATATACCTATAGCCAGCAACGCTACTAAATTTAGCTTATTTACATGTTTAAGAGCAAAATATTTTTTGAACAATACCATGAATAAATAATATGACCGTTTTAAATAGAAGAATATTGAATGTGTTGAGTAACCCGAAGCATGATAGACATTAATTGGAAGAATTGACGGTTAAAGGTGTAATCTCGAGGATTGTATATTTTAAATTAGTTATGAATTAGTCTAAATAAGGAAATTAATATGAGATCGATATTATGTAATTATAGATTGATTGGATGAATTTGTACGAGTTGCTTGAGGTGAAGCAGTTGGTATTTCGGCACAAGTACTGTGAGTAGTAATCTTATCGTAATTTGTGTTTTCATAACTTTCATGATTTACGCATGATTCCTAATATGAATATGTTACCGATTATTTTAAGTTGCATGTGGGACAAGTCTTTTACTCAATATGATACCGAAATAGTTATTTGACATGATTATTGTTGTTTTAAATATTCTTGTTGTCACCAGATATGTTTTACCGTTACTTGAATATACTGTTATCGAAATAAAATTACATGATTTGATAAGAACCTAATGCCCTTTATTATTTCAAAATATTTTTCTACGAGTATATACGGATACAGAGACAAGTATAAATGGGAGTAGACTTTGAAGGATCCCGTAGCTAACAGCGGGTTCATTAGACCCGGTGCACCTTTTATTTACCGATTACAGAGTATAGTTATAGCCTTCGCTAGTGGAAGGTAGAACTAGCACACTGTTACTGATTTCCCTCGAGTAGGGACTACCGTTATATTTGACTTCTTGCGAATAAGTCCACAGTTGTACCGATTACATGATTCGTTCATTGAAACCTCCCAAATTTGAATATTGATATTATACAGTGGGTACTGAGTTTACACTACAAGAAAAACATGATGAGGCTGAAAATTATTTATTGTTTCTGAAAGGGCATTTTTATGTTATTTTCTGTTTGAGATACTAGCATGTTTTCTGACTTGTCCCCAAATAAAAATGATTGTAGTTAAGTGTTATTACTCACTGAGCTAGCGACTCATTCCCCGCTAAATTTTTTTACAGAGACAACAGCTGATGCATGCGATGATTTCGTTAATTAAAGCGCACGGATTGATAGTTCTCGGTGAGCCTCGCACTTGTTCGCGTAGGCGGAGATTTTATTTATTTTCATGATCTTCTTTGAACTCTTAAAGTCGCTCTATGGTCCTTCTTTTAATGTCTTGAGTAGTCTTTGTTATTATAGACTTATGTTGAGTAACACTCATTCTTATCAAATTTGGAAATATAGTAGTATTTCTAGTTGTTAGTAGGTGAACTGTTAAAGATTGATATTATTTTGGTTAATTGATAAAGTTCTTGTCATTTGAATTGCTATTAGGATGTTTGGTTGCTGATTTGAGACAGAATTTTTTTTGGGATGATCCAAAAAAGGGGAAACTCTGTCCGATTTTTTGTAAAATTTCCGATGAGGCTTACTTGGGAGCACTAGCTCCTGAGCGCCGGTCACGATCCTAATTTGGGTCGTGACAGTGCTAGAATTTATAATGTGTTGAAGTTCCAAAATAATATGCTAGAAGTTTATAAATTTTATCTTCGCATTAAATAATGGCTGGTTTTCAATAACTTTGCAAACACTGACTGTTTTTTAGTAACCAACCGTAACATTGGCTATGCCGTGCCATTTTGACGTGGTGGACTATAGGATTTGGAACTGGGCCTGCCCTGACAGCTGAATAATTGGGCTTCAAATTCAAGTCCATTCTCTTTTTTCTTTTTCTTTTCAAAATTGTTTTTCAAATGATTAACTCCGTTTAAACAGTGTCCCGCAGTCCGCAACAAAGAAATTAAAGAAAAGAAATTCCCAATAAAAGAAATATCATGAAAAATAGTACTTCATCTGGCCCATTCTGACAAAATTACTGTTTGGAACTCAAACATTTCTTATTTGAATATAAAATTTTCAACCTTTTTAGTTCGACAATGTTGTGATTATTTACATCCTATATCCTAATTCCTACAATGTATATTTTACATCGGGCTGGAAAAAAAATACATCAGGAAAAATAAGAAATAAGCGCGAAGTGCCTTAATTCACACTAAAAATTAAAATATCGTAACATTCCTACTCAAACTCTACCAGTTTTTTCCAAGACGAAGATAGTATTACTAATTGGGCGATAACCTCATAGGAAAAAATTAAATATTTGTTAACTTTCGTGGAAGAGAGTTATTTTGGAGTAATAGAATATGGTAAATGTTAACTGCGGTTCAAGAAGTAATCTGTTTTTTTATCCACACTCGGCCTCCGATAATCGCATCGAGAGCTCTCACTAATTTAAATTCACGCTGCTAAAACCTATTAAAAGAGAAAAGACTTTTTACCAGAATTTTATTCCATTTTCAATGCTCAAACTCAAATTCTATAATAAAAGTAAAAGATTTTTATTTATCTTACAATAACCTTTGGTGATGGCTTAGGAGCTAAGACGTCTTGATTGCATGACAAAAATATCAAGGATTATTGAGGCAAAAGAAAAGAGAAAAGAAAGGGGATGAGTTGACAAAATACGTTCAGTGATTGCAAATCAAATGTATGGAATGAAAAGCCCAGAGGTGACGTCCGTACGGAGTACTTCGCTAAACGACAACTTTGTATATGTACACGGATCTTTTAAGATCACATTTCCGGCATCCTGTTTTGGGCCCCATTTTCTTACCACGTGGCGTCAACTAATCCTTGAGATTCCTTATTATTATTATTATTATTATTATTATTATTATTATTATTATTATTATTATTATCATCTCATTTTTGTGGTTAGAATTTATGATCTAATTACTCCATACCACCATCTTTGTCAATAAGTTATTTATTTATTCAATAAATAGGAGATTTTCTAGTTCTATCATTTTTATATAACCACTAAATGAGTTGCATCGTCTTTTTTTTTTTTCAAGCAAGATTCTAATAACATCTGCCCCTACTAGTTTTTTTTTTAAAAAAGATTGTGAGTAAAATAATAAAAATTATTTGAAGACACTTTTTGTTTCAGAATAATATTGTTTCTAGCATTCAAAATCAAAGTAGGGATTCATTCACTTTATATATTATATAGCTCATTAAAGTTAGCTTGGTAAAGTTTTGACATTTCGTAAGATAAGATTATCTCGACGAAAGGAAATTATTGTTTGATTTGATATTACATAATACCAAGCCACTAAAAGAATCAAAACGAAAAAAGAAATAGAAGAAAAATCAGAATTTTTTTTCTCTTTGTAATTGCTAATATGATTGAAGACAAGAGTCAATGATAAAGAAGGATTAAAACAAAAAGGGCTAGAATACAAAACAAGACTAATTTTTTATAATTTATAATTGCTAGTATGATTAAAGACGAAGGTCAATGATTTTTTATTTGACCTCCTCCAGACCCCACCCATTCAAAAGACTGACATAGTCCTATAAAAAAAAATTAAAAACATTTAATTAACATAGGTAGATTGAGAAGGGCTAAATTGCAAGAAGGCTGGAAATCATGGGACCTAAGTATAATAAAAACAACATTTGTCAAATTATAAATATTGGAGCCCATATATGAGCTGGATCAGACACAAGGTATTGGCACCTTTCTAATGAATGCCCCTCTGCCCCTTCACATTATTTCAACTTCAATGAGCTTTTGCTACTTGCACCTGCTACTTCTACTACCAGTGGAAATTAATTACCCCATTTTTAGGTTAAAAAAATTTCTTTAATTTTCCTTGTTCTTTTTCCTGTTCAAAAGATTATCCATAAATTATGATTAAATATTAGTAAGAATTGTAGAGAGTCTAAATTTATGAATGAATGATAGACACGTTTGGATTTCAAGACATATTGTAATTAGTTTTTAAGAAAACAATGTGTGTGTTTCAATTTAGTTCTGGAAAACAACCATTTAGTTGTTTCTCCAAAAGAGAAAATCAAGATTGTTTTTCTTTTAGAACGTGTTTGTTATAAATAACAAAACAGAAACAAGAATTTCTTATGCATGAGTAATACAAACTCTAATTTTGAACGTTGGACATGACAAGGTAACCTGGAATTTTGGTTCAGTGGAAAGAATGCATCACTTCATTTTTGGTTAGGCGCATATCACAAGTTCAAATTTTAACACTTTTAATTTATGTTGGAAGGAGGGTTAGAGGGACAAGTCACAAAACTGTGCACCAACTAAAGTCAGGCCGGTGACCTACATAGAATATCTCCAATATTAAAAAGGAAAATTGGATATGACAAGGTGCATTCAGCATTGGCAAATTTACACTTCAAAACATATCTTAAATCAGAGTACTTATCTGATTACTTTGTTTATATATTTGAATTCAAGGTTTAGTCTTAATATTGACGAGTGATCCAAGAGGAAGAGCACATGATTTTGGGGCAGTGGACGTGGTGTCTGTGTGAGAACTTAACTTTGAAAGCTTTGACTAAGACCAACAAAAGAAACCAAATCCTAAAGCTAAGCAGAGGCCACCACAGTAGAGCAGACAGAAGTTGCTCACGTTGGCCAAGTACATTGTTACAGTAAATATTACGTACTACCACAAAATCAGTATTTCATGTGCGCCTTCTAATACTTCTGCTCATGTGTGCGTGGTTTGCACTATTCCCTAAGATACTTTCATGCGTCTTCTCGTTCCATTACGATTATTTCCATTTTCTTTCCCTACTTTTGAACGTCATTTTGATATTACAAATGATTTACTATGCATCTCATAGTTGCATTCTTGACCTTTGTTTATTAACGGTGATGTTCTGGTCAACTTATGCTCACCTTAACTATTATATTGAATGTATGTTATCTTCCAGTAGCTAAAGGATAGTTGCATTCTTGATACTAGTATTGTCAATTTCTATTGTATAAAGTATATTTTCTACTGAAACGGAATGGAGAGGAAGTAGGAATGTGTCCTAAAAGAGTGGTTGGAAAAGCTCATTTTGTTGGTCCATACCTTTTGTTAAAAGGAGGAGAGACTCGGAACAACGGTAAAGTTGTCTCCCTGTGACCTATAGGTCAGGGTTTGAGTCGTGGAATCAACCATCGATATCTGCATTAGAGTAGACCGTTTACTGAATACCTCTTGGGGTGTAGCCCTTCCTCGAACACTGCGTGGACGCGAAATGTTTCATATATCAGGTTGTCCTTTTATTGTTCTAGCTTCTTTTTTATAAGAAGTCTATTTTCTTAAAGAGGTGATTTTTCTCTTATTTATTTATCCCTATTTGAGCCAGATGGTATAACTGTCAAAGAGTTAAAGTGTTCTATAAAGAAAATTTCCTTTTCTATAAAATGTTCATAGCTTTGTTTACCAGAATTTTAAGAGTTGTCATTTTAGCTGAGTATTTAACTTTGAAATTTAAAAAAGAAGAAGTTAAATTTGGGCTAGGGAAGAATGTTGTCCAATTTTTTGAAGTTGAGGGATGAGAATAAACAAGAAATGAACATTGGAATGAGTAACAGAGTGCACACTCAACTTAACAGTGTATTTAAACAAGCCAAGATTAAAGATTGAAGTGTGTGCGCACGTGCATACATGTGTGTATATCTGTTGGAAGCTCCCAAATAGCCATATGCACACGTGCGTACATGTGTGTGTGAGTTCGTGTAAAAATAAAAATGAGGGCATGTGAATTCTTTGATAACAACACAGTCAAATGTCTAAGAGGACTTGTGAATTCTTTGATAAAAACAGTCATTTTAAGAAAATTTTTTATTCACGCTCAAGGTTTATACTATCAATTTAATAAATATATATAATATTTATTTTCACTAAGGCTTTATGTATATTATTATCCGTAAATTATGTAGTTAATTAATACACATATGTATGTACTTTATTTATTACTTAATTAATTATGTTAAATTAATATAGTTTGGTGTGAACTCGGGATATTGGTAAACTTCAATCTAAGAGTTTAAATTAAATTAGTTAATATACATAGTACTAAAGTGCAAACGTAGAGTTTTCTGGGAGATAAAACCAAGTTTACAGACATAATCTGATGTCTTAAGCATTCCACGTCAGATTCTTGTCTGAGCATATGGCCATTTGAACTTTTGAACACATTATTATTTATAAAATACACACTTGATTCAAGTTCCACTTGCTTTTTAAATACGAAGTATACAAATTTTAATTACTTTTTCTGGCAAAAGAGCACGATACATTTTTGGAAAAACTAGTCAAATGTGGTACCTTAATTTTGACTTGACTAAACTGACCGCCAAGTTTTTTGATCCTATCCTTCTTTCTCTTAAACACTAGTTAATCACAGCCCCACAGCTTCACTATCAGATACAACCCAGAATTTCAATTTGATAGGTTCAATCTTTACATTTTTACCCCTGAACCTATTGCACATTAAAATTTATGGGTTTAAAACGTAATATTTATTAAGATTTTGATGATATTTTACATATACATTTAAGTTACATATTAAAATTATGAGTTCAACTGAACTTGCAGCATCATTAATCTGTACAAGAAGATTTTAACAAGAATCTCTCCTTGGCCATAGCCAGCCCAACAATTGGGTGTTGATAAAACTATCAACAATTGACATTCTTTATTTCTTTTCTTTTCAAGTGTCCCACCAATCGCCATTTAGCTAATAAGTCTGTGAAAAATAAAATTCCACAAGTAGTAGGTCCAGTGATAGAAACTTCACTTTATGTCAATATAGATTCAGAATTTTTAGTTGATATGTACGTCGGCAGCCAGTCACATATCTATATTGCGAATTTAAATCAATTGATACAATCATAAACGTTTAATGAGTTATAACACCTCTGACACTATGCAAACTAGTGACGTTGAAGTACAAACAACAACAACAACATACCCAATATATTATCACCTGTGAGGCCTATAGAGGATAATGTGTATGCAAGCCATATCATTACCCATTGAAGTACAAACAATTTACTAAAATAAATGTTTCAGGAATGACACTCCCAACCGCACAGCTTCAAGCAAACATAATTAAGTAGTAGAAATGAGATATGTACGGTTGCTACTCTCCCTGTTTCAATTTAGATGACACACTTTCTTATTAGTTCATTCCAAAATGAATGACATATTTCTACAATTGGAAATAATTCAACTTTATACTCTTTATTCTACCTGTTTTACCCTTAATGAAAAGCTTTTATAGTCATACAAATATCATGGCCCCAAAATTTTTTTACCCCTTAACCTTTTAAGACCACAAATTTCAAAAGTCTTCTTTTTTCTTATATTTCATGTCGAATCAAACTATCTCATCTAAATTAAAACAGAGAATATTAATTTTCAATAATAATAGTATATTTGGTTGTGTTTACTGTAATTGCTTAGGAGTATAGCCAAAAGTGCTAGTGGGAAGAAATTAAAAGAAAGGTGTCCAAATACTGAGGAAGTTGTACCTTGTTCTGTTACGACTTAAGAACGTACGCAGTGCCTCGCTGTCCAGCATGTGACAACGTTGTGGCTCCGTTCCCATCCATTCCATCAATTTCTTCTTACAAATACAGCCATATTTTACTTAACCCCCCACAACACCCCCACCCCTATAGAGTTTCATGGACCAATTGAACATGTCATTTTCGACATGGAACATAAATATACAAGTAAAATATTAATAAACGTTAAATTCTGAATTCATATATAAAATATACGATAAGTTTAGTGTCCATCAAATTTAAATAGTGAATCGGTGTTTGTACAACTCTCTCTCAATGCCCAACTGGCATTATCTGATTCATTCATATAGATAGCAGAATGGAGTGCTTAAGGACAAAACAGGTCTAGGATTTTCAGCCTTGATTCTCCTTTGGTCTTTTCCTATCTCCACTCTCATTTTGGCCTTTTCCTCTTAAAAAAACCCCACTTTGTAAAAGGACTAAATAGATAGAGTTAGAGGGGTACAACTGTGACATATTCTTGGACTATTTAGCAAGAAGTTGTGTCACTACTCACTACAATAGTTTTGTGCAGCGCTTTGGTCATCATTCCAAACTCTAACTCCTATTCTTCTCATTTAGTTTTCTTGGTTTTTAGACATACAAAAAAAAAATCAGAAAAAAATGGATTATGGAATGTTAGCAGCTGATTCAGAATGTAGTAGTGGATGTGAGTCTGGTTGGACTTTGTATTTAGAAAATTCTTTTCTAACTCATGCTTCTTGTAAAGGCAAAAAGTTTGAAACTGAAAAGAGTTTAAAGCAAAAACAAGAAGAAGAGGAAGAAGAAGAAGAGGAAGAGGATTTGTCAATGGTTTCTGATGCATCTTCAGGACCTCCACATTTTCATCAAGAAGAAGAAGAATATGGACATAATATTAATGGTTGCCATTATTATGCACCCATTAATCCTACATTTCCTAAAAACAATTCCAAAAGACAGAAAGCTAAAGAAAAACAACAACTTTCTCTACTGGATGATACAGCTAGCTCACCTTTCTTCGACTTCTCCAATGTAAGTTTTAAGTACTATTGCATTAATTGAAGAATGTGACATTTTTTACCATTTGCTTGTTTACTTGTTACAGTGGTTCTACATAATGATTCATTTAATTTTTTTTAATACTTTGGTATTGTTAATAGAACAATTTCACTATGACCAAGAACACAAAGTCAGTGGAAAATGTGTTGGATTTTTCACAAGGTTACTCTACTACACACTTTCAGGTATGTCTAGTTATGACTTTGATTAATATTCCATAATATAAAGTCTTAAAAAAGAGATAAATTTAATGTGCTTATTATTTATAATGCAGGGGAGATCTGCATACCAGGAACACTATGGTTATTTCCAGTCATCTCTGTTACCTGAAAATAAATTGCAAGAAAACCAGTTAAGTTCTTTTTTTGGCTCTTTTTTTTGTACTGCTAATAAATTATTTTGATGATTTAACTAACTAATTTTTTTTTAATTTGTATTTGAACAGATGGTTTGAAGAGAAGAGGTGGGGATAAAAGCCATCCATCAGTTATAACTTTTAAACATGCTGATGGTGTCTGTTGCTAATTAAGTGAATGTTTAGAGAGTGAGAAGAAGTTAAAATTGTCCAAGCAAAAGGAATTGGATCTCTAAAGGGATTCTTGTTCCTTATCTTTTTTTTAGTTCTTTTCTGTTTTTTTCTTTTAGCTGTCAATGCATTGGGAAACAACTTAGAAAAGAAAAAGTGGGGAATCATTTCCTCTCTCTCAGAGAATTATCTTGTTGTCAATGAATAGTGCCTGCATTTAGTTTACCTTTTTTTTTTGAAGTCTGTGTATTATGTTTTTCTAATTTAATTATCTATTTTTGAAATTTACTGGCTCAACTAATCCGAACCGTGTCGGATTGGCCATTGATGAAGGTGAAGCACTCCTTATTAAGAAATTAAATCTTAATGCTTTGTTGACTGCCTATTTATTTTACTTTTAGCACGTCCATTAAGAAAATACTAAATTCTATACAAAAATATCTACTATGACTAAACTATCCCTAATTAAACATTTAATGTGTGGAGTAAGAAAACTTTTTAGGGATATGTACATAGGGGTTATTTTGTAAAAACAAATTGAATTCTTTCTTGATTACATAACTGGACACTTATTTTGAACCAAAATGAAAAGGCAAACTAGTCACTTATTATAAACCGGAGGGAATAGTATTATTAATTGGACATGTCACCAATTCTTAATTACATAGAGACATCTAGAGATAGAATAGGGACAAATAATCCTAGTCATTTAGGCCAAACAAATTTAGTTCTACTCCAAAAACTAATTCTAAACTATTTTTCCCAATTTGCAAGACTTTCAATGGAGAAACAGGACAATTAAATAGCTAGTAGATATACTCATAAGAACTTGTTATATTAAAATATATGCAATCTCATTAGGTAGGATTTGCTGAAATTCATTTTGAAAAGCAGTGTCCACTGACCAAATCTTGGAAAAGGCTTGGCTATAATATGGACGAGACCTTATTGTCTCTTAGTGTCCAGACAAGAGTACATTCTGATCATTCTTGTTCTCATATTGATTCAAAGATCTTACTATGTTAATATTAGGATGTGTTGAAAAATCAGTATAATTATCCTTCTTTTAATACAATAATGCAATTACTAAATAAATTCCTTTTTTAAAATTATTAATGTAAAAATCTTCCATTGAATAGAAAATTCTTTTAGTTAATTATTTGTTTACCTCAGGTCTTATTAGCGACGGGACTATAATTTGGTTGGTCTATTTTAATTTAGTTTGAGAAATTAAGGAGGCACGAAAAGCTAATGTATGTATGCAGCTCATGTTAACCATATCATGGATCAGTCATGTAGGCCCAATAAGGCATAGGCCCAATTGTATATTCTCCTTTACAAATTCTGTAGCTATGCAGTTGTAAGACAAATGTATACGTGAGTCCAAAATGTATGATACCCGGGCCCAACAATAAGAAAGGGGACATTTTAGAATGTAGATATACAATTTCATTTTCAGCTTAGCTTTTTTATGAAATAGAAAAACAGATCGTTTCTCTCTCTCTCAAGCTAGGTTTTGTTCGATTCAATTTCACAAATAGATTCGGATATACGAATCTAACATGGTATCAGAGCAATAGAATAGATCCAGCTCGTCATCAGCTATCGTCCAATTGTACCCTTCGCCGGAGTTTTTGAAGTTTTATTGTTCCGAGGTTTCTCTTCAGATGGTGAAAACTTTGGGAATTTTTTGTGTTTTCTCTCCTTCAACACTCAGATGTCCTTTCTCTTTCACTATTTGACAAAAATCTGGTAAAAATCCTTCATTTTTCATTTGTATGCTCAAATTTGATAAAAGTTAGGTTTTCTTCCCCAAATTGCTAGAATTTTGTGGAAATTTGTTGTACTGGTTACAGTTCATTGTCGTATTTGTGAATTCTCGTGTGCTTCAACATGAGTACTAGTAGTTCTGTGAACTCCGAGGGCTTCGTCAAATTTACAGTGGATCCCTCCCTTCCTTTCTATGTTCACCCATCTGACAGTCCTGGTAGTCAATTGGTGACCATTCCTTTCAATGGTACTGGTTTCGTTCATTGGCGCAGTAGTATGCTGACCTCTCTCTCCGCTAAGAATAAATTGGGATTAATCACGGGTAGAATAGCCCAACCACAGACTGCTTCTCCTTATTATCCTTTTTGGGAGCGTTGCAATAATATGGTCAAGACCTGGATTATCAACTCCTTAACCAGAGAGCTTGCAATTAGCGTTATGTGTTTTCCTACTGCCAAAGAAGTTTGGTAGGACATTAATGATAGGTATTGTCAATCGAACGGGTCCAAATATATACAAATTCAAAGAGAAATTAGTGCATCTTCTAAGGGTGGTTCTGACATAGCTAGTTATTTCACCAAAATGAGAAGCTTATGGGATGAACTCACATCTGCCTATGTTGGACCAACCTGTTCTTGTGGTGCACTTCTAAAATTCATAGAAGATCAACACCTGTTTCAGTTTATCAGTGGGTTAAATGATTCATACTCTACTGTCAAGAGTAGTATTTTACTGATGTGCCCCCTTCCCTCCATTAGTAAGGCATATTCCCTCCTACAACAAGATGAAGTCAGAAGGAAGTAAAATCTACACCTTTTGGGTTTTCTGGTGATTCCGCAACATCTTTCTCCGTTTCTTCTAGCATCCCTCAACCCACCAACAAATTCTACAACCAAAAGGTCAGTTTTGACTCTAAGCGACAATCTTCTTCTATCTTTTACAAGTACTGCAAGAAGTCTGGGCATTCTGTGGACAAGTGCTACAGACTACATTATTTTCTAGCTGAATTTAAGTTTACTAAGAACAAATGAGCTGCTGCATGTGCCCAAGTTGAGGAACCTACTGCTGGCATACTTGCTAGTCCTACAAATTCTTCTAATTCTCCAGCTTTTGGCCTCAGCGAGGAGCAATATCAACACATTGTGACACTTCTTCAACAAACACAAGTTTGACCCAACTGTATTCAATCTTCCTCTTCTGCAGAACAATTTGGTTTTGCCAATTTTGCAGGTGTGTGTCATCTTCCTAAAGTACAATCTGTTGTTCACTATTTGTCTGCTCAGTTAGGTAGAAGTCCTTGGATTGTCGATCCAGGTGTCACTAATCATACGACCCCACACAAACATTTTTTACATAATATTCAACCTCTGGCCTCTCCCTATTTGATAATATTACCAAATGGTTATAAAGTGAAAGTCATTTCTTCTGGCTCTTTACATCTTAGACAAGACATAATTTTGCATAATGTACTTTTAGTTCCATCTTTTTAATTCAATCTTATTTCTGTTCATCAACTTCCTTCTCAGTTAAAATATATTGCTATATTTACCAGTTTCTGCTGTTTCTTACAAGGCCCTTCTCTGAAGAGGCCACTGAAAATTGGTAAGGCAGCTCGCGGGCTCTACTTTCTTCTTCCCAATATGCCTACACATTCAGCTTTTGTTTCTGTTGTTCCTGTAGTTCCACCTGTTTCTCCTATTTCTTGCAGTATTGCGTGTAGTTTTGATTCTCCCACTTCCCCTAGTCCCTCTTGTAATCCATCTTCTGTTGTTAATAAAATGGATTGGCTTTGGCATCAGAGACTTGGTCAAATGTCTTATCATAAAATGAAATTTATCCCTTGTTTATCTCATTTGGTTTCTCATAAACAATCTTTCATTTGCTCAATTTGTCCTATGGCCAGACAACAAAGGTTGCCCTTCCCTGAAAGTCACATTCATTCAACTGCCCCATTTCAATTGGTGCACATAGATATTTGGGGCCCTTACCATACTAGAACATATCATGGTTTTAGATATTTTATCACTCTAGTGGATGACTTCACTAGGGTTACATGGACACATTTGCTTTCTTGCAAACGCAATGCCCTTCCTATTATAAAGGCATTTACCTCCATGGTCAAAGTTCACTTTAATTCCTCTGTCCAAACTTTCAGATCTGATAATGCTTTTGAACTAGGTGGCAGTTCTGAAGCTTCAGTTTTCTTCATTGAAAATGGGATATTATATCAAACTACTGTTCCACACACACCACAACAAAATGAGTGGTAGAACGAAAACATAAACACCTCCTAGAAACATCCAGAGCCTTGCTTTTTCAATCCAAGCTTCCAACAAAATATTGGGGTGATTATGTTTTGATGGCCACATATATTATCAATAGATTGCCTTCCTCTATCTTAAATATCTCCTCCCCCTATGAAAAATTGCTTGGCGTTTCTCCCACATATGGCCATATGAAATCTTTTGGATGCCTTTGCTTTGCCACCCCTCCCAAATCTGGGAGAGACAAATTTCAGTCGAGAGCTATTGCTTTTGTTTTCTTAGGTTATCCTTGTGGTAAGAAAGGATATAGGCTTCTAAACCTCTCCAATCATTCTATTTTTTTTTCTAGGGATGTTGTGTTTCATGAACATATCTTTCCCTATTTCTCTTCCTTCACTCCTTCTACTTTTCCTCTTTCCCTTATTGATTCTGTCACTCCTCCTCCACCTCCTGTTATTTTCCCTTCTCCTCCAAGATCAACTTCTTCTCCTTTTCCCTCTCCACACTCTGCTTCTGTTCCTATTTTCCCTGTCTCACCTTCTGCTCATCCTCGCCCTTCTCAAAATACACCTTCACCTCCATGCCTTTCTTCTCTTGTTTCCAGTACCCCTCCTTCTGCTCCTTTTATACCACCTATTAGAAAGTCTACTAGAGTGTCTCACCAGACTACTTATTTACAAGATTATATTTGCTCTTCTGCCTCTTTTCCTTCTATTTCTGACAACTCCAAGGTTTCAACTGTTGTGCTACACTTGCATGAACCTCAATTTTACCAACAGGCTGCCTCACACCCTGCTTGGCAAGAAGCTATGCTTAAGGAATTTCAGGCTCTTGAAGCAAACAACACTTGGGATATCGTTCCACTTCCCCCTCATAAGAAACCTATTCCTTGCAAATGGGTTTACAAGATTAAACAAAATTCTGATGGTTCCATTGAGCGATATAAAGCTAGAATAGTTATTAGAGGGAATCCCCAAAAGAAGGGATTGATTACACTAAAACCTTTTCCCCAGTAGTCAAATTCACTACTATTAAATGCCTTGTTTACTTGGCTGCCAAGAAGAACTGGACTATGTACCAACTTGATGTGAATAATGCTTTCCTTCATGGTGATCTCCATGAAGAGGTCTACATGAAAATTCCTTTTGGTCTTCAGGTTTATTCTCCTTCCTCTTCCTCTCCCTCTTCCTC